AATTGTTGTAACAGCGGGTTACTCACGAACCATGACAGAATATTTTGTTTATATCAAATGTGACCAGTAGACAATTGCAACATTTTATCCAAGAGTGGTAGAATTACGATCCAAATGTCAAACATTACCAGAAACATTTTGAATAGGGCTAATAACATATGCTGTGGTTTTTTGGCTTTCTAATGTTTGTAGCTTAATCATTCACAGTTTACGGGTCTACAAAAAATTAACATAAAATATTATTCAAAAGTGATTACATCATATTAATGGCCAAAGCTAAGAGAATCGCGTATTCCAGACACATATTTCTAGTAAGTAAGATGAAGAAAATTGTTGCTAATTGAGCCAAAGAATGCTAGAAGGTTAACACATAACAGTTTTTATACTTTCTAACTCATGACCGTTCTTCAATTATAATACAATGAATGGAAACAAAGCACCTAAGAAGATCATTGGCATGTGGTAGACATTCCCACAAAAGCTATATTGCTTACTGGTGTAAGCTACTAATAATAAAACCGATTACTTACTAATTTAGCTGATTACAGCATCAGTATACTGCCTACTATATAACCAGACAAATTAAGTATGGATACAGAATCCTGCTCTGCTTTTTCGTAGCAGCTGCTTCTCCATTGTCTTCTAGTTATTTGCACTTAGCCATGCCTCATGCTATGAGATATGATTAAAAAGACTCCTAAATCTTCCTCAGGCTGCAGTGTGAGTGTGCAGTTGTGACCAGTAGGTGGAAGCATTTGCCAGCAAAAGAGACATCTTGAGCATCTATCGTCTGTAACCCTCACAGATAAGTAAATCAAGTGGAGCATTAATGCAACCCAATATAAACAGTGCTGGCAGTGGTTCCCTAATCTCACTCTACTGTCCTTCTAATCTCACATGGAAATTATTAGAGCGTTCACTTTAGTCCTGTAGGTTCTGAGCATGTTTGCCGACCCTTCCACATGGGATTGATTGTGGGAGTGCACATTAATAATAATAACATGTATTAATGTGTGGGTGCACATTAAACGTGAGATACACAGTAGTTAAGGCTGAATAACTGGCTTTCCAGAGGCATTTTTGTAAAGCACTTTGTGTTTCTGTGTGAGTGAAGGAGCTTGCTTGCTTATGTGTGGCGTATGTGCGTGCATGTGTGTATGACTCACGGTCAGCTGCGGCCTGCATATCTAGTTTATGAATCACCAGGTTGCACTCCATAACCTTTCAACTGGCTAGTTGCCCCTGGGCACATACATAAACCATTTCATTTTAACACTGCATCCCTCTGAATACCATCACATACAGCAGTTTATATTTAAACCCCAGGGACTGAAAAATAGCTATTAATGCCGTCTCTTCTTCAACTCTGTTCTTTATTGTATTTTGATGATTGACTGATAATTGTACCTGAGGAAGTATCGCTTCAAATGCCAGGGGGTTCTTGGAAAGATTGTTGCTCAATTTATTTGACGAAATAGAAATTAAAATTCTTATAATGCTATCCACATGTTTTAAGAAACCTAATAATAATTCAATATCCACATATTGAAGTCAGCTGTAACACCTGAAGATGAAGGGATGACAGTCAGTGCTTAAAAGTGAGCCAGCAGAGAGGCCCAAACAGTAAAAAGTAAAGTAGCCTAATGATTCCAGTTGAAATAGTTAGGTAAATGTACTGTATAGTGGATAAATGGTTGGATAGTAGGATAAACAATACATTAATAGAAATATTTAGCTGAAAGTGTTGGTAAAATTGTGAATGCTAAAGGGTTGAAATAGCTGATTCATAGTTATGTTAAGCTGTAATATGGTAAATGGCTGAAAAGTCCAGCTTTCAAGTGGTAGTACAACTGGAAACTTGACCAAACTGACTAAACTAAACGTTGACTCTTTGATTGTATAAAAGAACAATCCACTTTTATATCACGAATGGTGTAAAATAATATCCAGTTTAAAATAATTTCAAGTGAACAGGCTATATTTGCCTTGACAGCTAAAAACAGTAAGCTATAAGACAAGGTGCTGTTAACTGTTCATTAACTAATTGTAGTCAGGAAGCAAGAAGTGGGAAGGTTGTGGGGGGTTATGGTCAGGGGATTGCGTGACCGTCTTCCATATGCTTAGTAGGGTGTGTGTATACATGCATAATAATGTGCATGCATATGTCTATGTACATGCGTGTCTGTAGCATACCCTCAAGGATTCTCCTCATTGTCACTGGGGGATATGGGGAGATGTGGACATTGTTGTGTCAATGTATGTGTGTGTGTGTGTGCACTTCTTCCAGGCTAATTAGAGTACAGCTGCAGTTGTACTGTACACTGTTAAACACTGCTGTCGCTGTTTGACAGCCTTGACAGGGGGGCAGAATTGCTGTCACTGCCGACCTGTCTGCCAAGGCCATGTAGGGATGACAACCTGGTGTGTTTTAGGATTATAAGTGGTTTCAAGTTTGCGTGTGAGTGAAGGGAGGAAGATCAGCTCAGCAGACCCCTGCCTGCTTTCCCATTTTGAGTCTCTTTGGACAAGAGAATTAACTAAATCCTGAAGCGCTTAAAAATGTGATCTGAATTCTTCCATCAGTCACTGAGATTTACCTGCCTAGAAATGTGAATTGAGTCTCACCTGCCTTGAGGCAGTTTCTGCATGATTGCCACATTGTGTGCTAACCAGAAATAGTTATCACACGTTAAAGCAGAAATGATGGTGCAACTAAAAGTATGTGTTCTTAGGGAATGCTAATTTAAGAAATTCAAATCCTCCCTATTATTGATTAACTGAACTGTGGGTTTCACTGAAACTGGGTGATAACCTTTTTAAGCCTCATCATTACGAAAAAGAAACGAGGCGAGGAGTTGTGAGTGTAGCGCTTGAACAAGAATGCTGCCTGCAGTGTAAGAATGTGAGCAGGTGGTTTGACTCATATGACAGGAATCTGACGTATGTTTCTGCTCCCTGTCACAGTCCAACCTGCACCTGCCTCTGCATCGCACCTCCTTTGGAACATGCTGCGTCTCTCTGTTGACAAATAGACAAGCCAGTTGAGGCAATGCAGAGGACAGCAGAATCACCAGCATCAATTATGTCGGGTGCAGTTGTTTGCTGGCATGGCTGTGATCTTCCTCATCGCCCTCCAAGGCAAAGTCCCCAAGATGATGACAAGGACATTATGCATGAGTTATTTCTGAAAGTTACAGAGACTCAGGTGCACTAGTCTAGTCTAGAGGTCAGGTTATGCTAGGTTACGCTGGTCTGCTGTGCTCAGAGGAGAGGAGCAGACAGATCAGAGGCAGCCAGCTTTTTAAAATGTTAGTCATGCCGCTGTTCCATTTTCATGAGCTGTGTTGCAATCCCTAGGACCAGCCTGCCAGTTTCACAGAGAGTCAGCTAGCACTACCAAGCACACTATGTTGCATCTGGACTGCCAGGATTTCTGGGATAGAGATGCATTATTCCTTTTCTCTTTTGCAGTTAGAAAATAAGACTTTGAACCTTTCCAAGCTGGTGGTCTCAAGAGGAGCAGAATCAATTTGATGAGACTTGTTGCTTCCTGTTTAAAAGTGTATGTTAGCCCTAATTCATCACCCTCTGATCTTCTGCTTCATCTTCATCTTCTGATGTTTATGATGTGTTAAAATGTTTATGAGATTTCTTGTGCATGCTTTACACGCTCGCTACACCGAACACAAACCAGTCATAATGTTGCGATCAGCAGATATTGAGCCGTTCACATGCGTTCCCTTGTCCTACCTCTGGCCAAGCGCCAGGTGCAATTCACTTCATTAAGGCATTAGAGCAATGCACACTATGTGAGTTTACTCCATTCCAGCATAACTGCTCTTGGGTTACAGTAACAGGATCAAGACAACTTCAAAGACCTTGTGGTTTCTCGCAGTGGAGCGATGTTGTAGTGCTGCTGTATGTCTGTGTGACTGATGAGAGCCACCAGAAATATTGACCTCACACAGTCGGTTGCAGTGTCATCTGATAAAGCCAAAATCAACTCCAGTGAATGTGCCGAAGCTACTCCCCAGAGCTGTTTACATGAGCCAGAGGGAAGCTAATGGTGGACAAAGCGTGTGTTACGGAAATGTTTTTGTGTGTTTTACGGTAGCCGTGTTTAGTGATTTAACACCAGAATTTTTTCATATATAACACCCTGCAGTTAAAGTCTTTGCAGCCATTTACTTAAGTTTAGCACTGTACGGCAGCCAAGAGAGCACTTATCAGGGATATTATATTGCTCTTCAGGGATGTTAAGTGAATGATAGCCTTGGAGTACTGTATCCATCTTATCCAGCAATAATCACAAGCCACAGAAGATTAGCATAAAGCCCAAATTAATTTAGCTGTAAAGTCAAATAGAGTTCAGCGTTTCAATACCTGTGATTATGATTATTATTATGTCTTGTAACCACATTTATGTTTTCCCCCTCCTCCTGTTTGCAGGTGTTCTGCTTGACATCCAGCGGCATTACGGTGTATCAGACAGTGGCATCGGCTTGTTGCAAACAGGTGAGTCTCCTATAATCCTATAATTACACATGTGAAAAATCTTAGCTCAACACCTAAACATTCTCCGCATGATGAGGTTAATTATTGTGTAACTGAAATATTTTGTATTGTGTTAGCTAAATTGGATGGAACAGCCTCTGATCCCAATCTGCCTCTTGTCTTCTGGTAAATGGCAACAATGAAATACAAGCTAAGTCCCAGTTAATAGCAACAATACACAAACAATAAAAGGGTTCTTTCTACAGTAGAGATATTGACAGCACAATTTGAGGTGTATTTACATAATCAAGCCACTAATGATTTACTTACTTACTCTAATCTTTCTCTTTTATACTCATTAAGGTGCTCTAATCGTAGGATTTAAATAGAAACCATTTAATTTTTTTCTCAAGAAAGCTGATCAAAAGGGGCTCCACTTCTTCTCTAATCTATTTAAGTCTGCAAACCCAAAACAGAAATAGATTCTTCTTGGTCACGCTCACTTACAAAACTAGAAGATAAAAGCACTGCCTCAATTTTTGCAAGAATGTATTTATATCTGCATGTGAAATTCTGCAGTGATTTGGAGATTTGAGTGAGATTTCCTTACAGCAGCAGCAGCAACAGCAGCAGCAGCAGCAGGGCAGGTCAATAGAAAGGAAAACACAGACAGGAGCCAGGCAGGGTGTTCTCCTGAGAGCCTGCATGCATGTACCCAGAGCGTCTGAGGACTCTGGCTCAGGGCAGGGTTTCCTGTTCTACTCTAGACCCCAATGAATTCACCTTTTAGGGAGATACCTTGCAAAGCCCTCTCATTGGAGGACAGGACCCAGTCTTGTCTTCATGCACCCTCAAACTCACTCAAACACCAACAAACTTGCACACAAAGTGCCATTGAGTTTTGAGCAGGCATGTTTGAGTTTGAGGGGGAAAGAATACAGCCCAGTGTTTTCCTCTTTCACTTGATGTTCTTAGACTAACTTTAGGTAAACTGAATGGTGTTTTGAGGACAAAAATATCTACCAGGAAAAAGAAATTAGTAATTTCTGTTGGCTTTTCAGAATAAGCCATTTCATCATTTCCGCATCTCATTATCTCCCATTTTCACTCTAGTATGAAGAAGTAAATTTTCTCTCCTTTACACACTTTTCTCCTTTATCTTGTTTTTTTGTGCTTTTGTTGTCTGGTGTTTCAAAGCACTTTAACATAAGATGCCTCAACAGACTGGTAATGGTCTTTATATAGAATCAAACACGTTTTATCCGTTTTCTTAATAAAGCAGAGTGCCTGCATTTGTGAAAACAAACTTTCCAGGTTATGTCTGTTCCGAACAGCACGTTCTGCACTGGGGGATATGTATGAAATCTCAACAAGAAACAGGAAACTGAAAGTGTGAAGGGTGTTTGACTCTTAATTCTGTTTGCATTGGCTCATTATTTGGGTTAGGCACACAGCCACACTGGCAGAGGCCCACACACTTAAACACACACAGTATGTTAGTAGAGTGGCGTGTGTAGCTGACTTGCCCTCTGTACCGTCTGCACTTGCAGGTCTCTGAGAGACACCCAGCTGGCAAGGCTAAAATCAGGGCTGCTGTGTGCTTGGTTTGCCTGGCCTGTGCCGGCCTGTTATGGTTCAGACTCCACTTGGCCCCTGATCCCCGGGCGACCTCTTTCTCACACCGGCCTGAGGAATGCTGGTTGTCCGGGCCTTGAGCTGTGAGAGCGGGTCGGCGCAGGCAGGGAGCCTAGGTGTGAAGAAGAGGTTAGGAGGTTGACGTAATCAGGGTGCTGGAAGGGAGAGTCTCAGTGTGTGTGTGTGTATATATGTTTACAATATGCACATGTCCCTTGTGGTTTCCCAACCCCCCCACTTCTGCCTCCAGAGGGAACAATCCCTGCCTCTGTGAGCACCTGCAGGCCAGGCCGGCTCTGCCTTCTCTCCTTCCTCGCTCCCTCTGTCCTGGCAGCGTTCGTCCACCTGGGAATGCAAAGTGCAAACGTAGGTGTTTTACTGGTTGTGAGGCTTTTTCTCTCTCTCTCTGCTGCCAGGTCACCCTCACAGAAAATACTGACCACACGCTGAAGGTTCCAAGTTTGCAGAACAAACACAAGTCTTAGTCAGAATCACTTTATAAACTCTGTGTTGGTTCAGTTTGAGCAAAGGATAGCTTTGACCCTTTTCTTTGGCTCTTGATCAGAACTACTAGATTGAAAAACTTCCCATATCTAGAAGTTACTGAAAAGTTGTTTGCTTTTGGGAAATACTAGCCTGACTGAACACGAGAGCAGTACTTAGTCCTCCTACAGTGTTTGCATTTTGATTGTTCCACTCCAAAACATGTCTGTTTTGTCTATTTTTGACTTGTAAAATGTGATTTTCTTAGAATAAGCCAACAATCAGTGAGTGGAATTAGGTAATTGTATCTGTTTCTAATGAGAGAGAGGTTTTATTTTGTTTAGTGTGTTATTATCTGGTACAGGAATGTGCCTCTCCCTAGCTTGTTTTAAGATATTGATGATCACACCCCCATTGACATGGAAAATAAGAAACATATGTCTTGAGACTGAATGGTGAGATGAATGCTTTTTGCAGTGCAGTGGTGTAAACTGGCGTTTTCATGCTAAAGGACAACACATGGAAAATACCCTGTGGTGAGCTCAGCCTCCACAGCACCAGTTATTTTTGTTATTTGGCAACACCAAGCCTTTCAAAAGCCGCTTACACAACACAAATTGACTTGAGGTATGT